AAAAAAAAAACCCAGCCTTGCTCATCAGCTGACGCTAAGGAGGTCGGGTTGGCGCCCACTCAAGTGCTTCTGGGAGCATCCCGTGACCCATGGTCTGGCATCGGGATCGTGGCATGGCTTGGAGATGGCGCTGGATAAAAGCTGCTTCGCATCTGTCCAGCCTGTAACGTATCCACCATCCACCGATCCAGCATTATACGGCAGAGATCGCTTCCATCTCGTGTTTACCTCCAGATTACAAAGTTAAGGGCTAGGGCAGGAAATTTCAGGCTGCTGCAGCAGCTGAGGTCTTGTGCAAGGCTGTGGTTTATGGATTAGTGTGTAAGAGACGAAAAAGGAAAAGAAAAAAAAAAATCAGTGCAGCTCTATTTGGGAGAAATTCTGCACTCTCTGCAGAGGCAAGCACTGCAACTTGTCTCAAGAGATATTTATTTTACCAAATGTCTAACTTATGCTAATGGTTTGGCTTCCCTGGAAAGGAATGGGTGTGGGGAAAAGTGCTTCATGCTCATATTTCTTTTTTTAAAGACCAAAAAGCCTCAAGCTTTAATAACGCAGCAATGGCTGTAATGAAGTCACCAGGCCACGGGTTTGGTGCTCCCAAGCTAACCTGGTGGCAGGGCAGGCTAGGCTGGATCTAAGCTGGGTCACGTTGTTTCTAGGCTGGCTTTATTGTGGCTTGGAGTCACGCACAAGTCCTGGCAGCCAGAACAAAGGAAAAAGCTGGGCTCAAATGAAGTGTTTCTGGCTTGAGGAGGACACATGACTTGGGCTTTGAGGACCTCTCACCCTGGAGGGGTGGGGGTGTTACAGCTGTAGGGGTAGGACAGCTTTTATCTTCTGCAAACCCTTGGAAAAGGGTGTGTTGGTGCCTCTGTCTGTGCCTGGAGGAGTTTGGCCCAGACAAGTGGAGGAGCTGAGAGGTGCTTCAGGGCTGTGACTTATCTCCTGGCTTGACCAGCCTCGCTGAGTCATGTGAGTTGGGCTTTGAATAGCCTGCTTTCAGGTTGGTTCATTTTATTTTTTAAATATTTTTTGGATTGTGCATAGAAATGCCCAGTCAAATGGGACTTACAGGGTTTAATTTCTGAGTGCTGTGGAGAAAACTGTGGTGGTGGGACTCTACTGTGAGGGGACCTGCTGTTGCAGGCACTGCGCATCTCCCATATGGGATGCTGATTTGGGGCATAACGCAGTCCAAAAAGCTGTCCTTGGGAAAGCAAAGCAGGGAACTGCCCCTGTCTCCAGGATCTCCTGGTCTGGAGGGATGGAGAAGGCACTGAGGTGATGTCAGCTCCATCCCTCCTCCCTGCTGCTGCAGAGGGACTGCGGGTGGGTGGTGCAGCGCCAGCCGCAGCCATCGCTGCTTCGGGTGCTCCCCTCCCTCACTGCAGTGGCTCTGAGAGGGGCCTTCAGCCTCAGAACTTCCTCCTCGCTGGCTGGGAGGCGAGGGGGGCTCAAGGGCTGTGCTCAGGTGGCCCAAATTTCCTCTTTTTTCAGAAACCAGCTGACTGAAAAGTGAGAGTCCTTCCCAGGGTTCAGTTTTGCTAGTGGGTAGCAGCTTTCTGGAGTTCTTTCTTTCTCATCCTTCAAGAAATTGCATTACTTTGTATCCCAAAGCAGAAAACTTGTTCTCAGCTCTATAGGCCAAGAGGAGGTGGAGCAGCTTGAAGGGGAGGGCCCTTTGCAAGCCCCCCAAATCCTCCTGCCATCTGGAGAGTTTATCTTAAGAAGTCCACCAGCCAAGCCTTGCTTCTCAAGGCAATATAGGCTCTTGGTGGGACATGTGAAAACAGCCTTTGCCAGGGTTACCCTGAACTTGAGAGGCACCTCCAGAGAGCTGGGAGGGTGCAAAAAGAAAAGGATTGCCTGGGGTTTTTTGAGGAAAGTCCTCTGGCTTGTTTGCCATGCAGAAAATATCTGTCCGGTGCAAGCAGCTGTTATGCAAGTTTTGGTGCTGTTCTCTTGGTGGTATTTAAAACAGCCGTGGGGCTTTTGGGGGCAGGAGGCCTGCGCAGGGGAGATTAGGGGTTGGCGGGGGGAGCCCGTGTGTGATGATGCTGCCATGGGAAAGTGCTTAACCGCTCATATCTGCGGGGAAAGTTGGGGCGACGGTGGAAACCAGCAGCCTTTTCCTGCTCGCTGCGTTGTAGCTGGGGTCAACGTGAAGTTCGTGCCTCCAGCTGCACGTGACTGGTGTTGGCGGAAATTCGTCCTGCGAGTCCCGTGCCTGTGCTCTCTATATATAGATTGGGTGTACACAGGGCTTTTGCTAAAGTCAGGAGGGGTAGGGAGAAAGAAATTGCAGCAGATAGAGGATTTCCCCTTCCTTTTCTGCTCAGGTCTTGTGATGCTCTGTGCTGTGCAGCTGAAAGAATCAGCTGCCCCCCCAAAAAAACTTCATACCTATAGGAGTCTTAGTAGATTATCATAGAATGGTTTGGGTGGGAAGGGATCTTTAAAAGTAATCCAGTCCAACCCCCTGCAAAGAGCAGGGACATCTTCAACCAGATCAGGTTGCGCAGAGCCTCATTGAACCTGACCCTGAGTGTTTCCAGGGATGGGGCATCTACCGCCCCTCTAGGCAACCTGTGCCAGTGCCTCACCACCCTCATCATAAACAATTTCTTCCTTATATCTAGTCTGAATTTGCCCTCTTTCAGTTTAAAACCATCACTCCTTGTCCTATCACTACTGGCCCTACTATAAAGTCTGCCCCTTATCTCGCTGCTCCTGCTGCGTTTGCTGGCCATGGGCCACAACATAGCGCAGATGCAATGCAGCAGAGCTTGAAAGGAGGGGAACCTGCCTGGTGTCTTCTTTTCAGTTTGGTTTTGGGTTACTCGGAGCTCGCAGTCTGCAGCCGGTGTGGTCTGGTAACCCGAGGATGTGAGATCTCCCGTGTTTGCCCATCAGGAGCTCGCTGCAAGCAGCCGTATTGGTGCAGGAGGCTTTGCAGGGCGGGTTTCAGCGTGTCAGCAAATTTGCAACCATCGCACAGAAAACAAATGTGTTTTGGGTGGCTTCTGGCCTTTAAAACACCTCTCTTCCGTGCTACAGAAAATACGAACTTAACTACAGGAAGTACAGAGGTTTTTGGGTTTTTAATGTTTTATTTTTGTGGATTTTTAAAGGTTTTTCAAAAAGTGCGTCAGTTCAAGCCAGTTGCCTATAGGCTTCCTATGGCCATGTTGAAGGGCCTCAGAAATGTATATTTGTTTCTCTGGGCGTAACCTCCTTCCTGCTGCATAAGCAGGGGAGCATAGCAGGGACACCAGCAATACCAACCAGTCCCTCCTCTGCGAGAAACCTCTGAGCGAGCAAAAACGCATGAAACCCCTTCAGAGAGGCGAGATTTAGGGGTAGGAGGACCCATCTGCTGCTGAAACTCAATTTTTTGGGCTGAGCATCCCACTGAAAGTGCAAAGACGGGAAGAAAAATGAAGAAATGGTGGAAGGAGGAGAGGAGGAGGGAAAGAAAAAAAGCTCTTTTATACAGTTCGCTGCAGCCGCCTGGGCTTGTTGCTGGCAGAAAGTAGGACACTCCTGCTGGGTTTTCTTCTCTGGAAAGGCTAAACTTGGCAGTGAGTGGGTGGGAGCAGCCTGGATGGAAACGCGTGTGCGTCTCCCCATCCCCTGCCCGGCCAGCTCTCTGCTGGCGAGAGCTGGGGCATATTTGCCCAGGAGGTTTTAAGCCCGAGCTTGCAAAGGTGATTACAGACTGAGATGAGGAGGAATTAAAGCCTCAATATCTCCGCTGTTCAGGCTGTGGTGGAATATCCGAGGTTTTGGGGCACTCAGCAGGCTTGGGGCTCGTCAGGGTGGATGTGGGGCTGGTGGGAGGGGAGCTGAGAGGTTTTGGAGGAGGAGGAGATGGGTGCCGTGGTGCGTTTGCAGAGGTTGAGCAGCTCATGGCCCGTCTGCGTATTGGAGCAAGTGGTAGCTGCTGGCGTTGGGGGTTAAATTGGAGCTGGGTAATTTGATGTGAGTTAGGTTAAAGGAGGCAGGAGAAGAGAGAAACCACTGAGACCTGGAGCATGGCTGGTCAGGGTGATGCTTGTGCTATGGTTTGCTCTTGCTGTGCTTCTGGATTTCCCCTGTGTCTCTGTTCCCCAAATTGGGACTTTCCTGGTGCCCCATGCCAAGGGATGTGGCTTCACAGCCTCCCCTAGGAAAAGCCTTGGTGGGAGGGGACCACTGCTCCAGTGCATGCAGACCCCACTTTGCATGGCCAGGAGGTCACTACCCCAGGGCTATGACCAGGGTCCCCAGAGCCATGGGCTGGCCAAAATGAGCCCCTAAAGTCCAGAAAATGTGATTTGGAGCTGTACCTTCAAAGGGAAGAGTGTTGCACTAGGGCAGGGACTAACGAGTCCCTGGGGAGGACTTGCCGTGGAGGTTGGGCATCCCTTATCCCTTCTCCTAGCCCTTATTCTCCATTTTTATGGAAGTAAACACGGCTCTTAATACCCTCCAAATCCCTTGGATCTGCTTCAGAAGGTGCTTTTCTGTCGCTGCTAATCCTGCAGTGGTCAACCAACAGGGTTGCTTGGTCTGATTTCTCCTGAGCCACGGGAGCAGGGTTATGAGTCTGCTCCTGCGCCTCTCCTGACCTTTGGGGTAAATCAGGATCGAGAGGGACTTTGTGCAGCCACGTGTTTTATCCACCCACGTGCTGCTGCAATGGTGCTTTTGCCAAGCTCTTGCTTGGGAAGGTTTCCAATGATGCCCAAATCTGGCTGCAGGTGGAGTTTCCCGTTCTGTAGCCAAGATGTGGCCAGCCGTGTCCATCCTGTGTGTCCTGGTAGCCTTCGCCAATGCTCGCAGCGTTCCTTACTTCGCTCCCCTCTCCAGCGACTTGGTCAACCACATAAACAAGCTCAACACCACCTGGAGGGTGAGTACCGGGTTGCTTTCTGGGTTGTTTTGAGGAGTTTTATGATGCATTGCTTGACAGTCTCCTTGTGGGACTTAATAGCTGGGCTTTGGGAGTTTTGCTGCTGTGGTTGCATCAAACCAGCCTTGGTCCCAGTTGACATCTCCAATGAGCTGATGCCATCAGGGGTTCCTGTGGTGACAGGAACTGTGCAGCTTGTCTTTGGAGCGGAGCATGGATGAATTTATAGAGTAGGAGTGGTATGTATTTATAGAGTAGGAGTAGTATGCCGAGAGGGGAGGAGGCTGGAAACAAACAGTGAGTGTCAAGCTGTATTGGTGACCTGGCCAAAGCCTAGAGTTGGGCCTTAACTTTCTGCTCATGGTGCACCGATCCTGGAAGGAGCTGTGTTCTGTGTCCATGTGTAGTTTGGCTTTTGGTCCCTGGGTTTTAAAACAAGTGTCAGACACCGGTTTGGTATGAGGGAGATCTGGAGCACCAGCAATGCACTTGATGGCTATGGAGGGTCATGTCCCATCTCTCTGTCTTCACAGGCAGGGCACAACTTCATCAACACCGACATGAGCTATGTCAAGAAACTCTGCGGCACCTTCATGGGTGGGCCCAAGCTCCCCGAGAGGTGAGTGCTGGGAGGAGTTGGTGAGGGCCCTGTAAAGGCTTGTGTGGATGCTCCTGGTGTGTCTGGAGTGGGTGAGGGTCTCTCCTGGTAGAGCAGGGTTCCCCTGGGTGCAGCTTGGTGAATATCTTGCATGGAATTAAGCACAGAAGCATGCATGGGGGAACATCCATCATCTGTCCTGCCAGATACTCGACCAGCTGTGTAATTTGTACTCTTTGAAACTTAAAACACTGGAGGAGCTGCTGACCTTCTCTGAGGATGCCAGAAGTACTTATTCTCTTCCAGTCAGCAAACAACAAGGGTACTCATGCTCCAGGTCACCTGGAGGAGGTTGGAGAGCCCTGTGTACCCAGTCCTGTTACGCTGGTGTTCCCGTAACAGGAGTTCTTCTTGCTTGCAGGGTAGACTTTGCTGCGGACATGGAGCTGCCTGATAACTTTGACTCACGGACGCAGTGGCCTAACTGTCCCACCATCAATGAGATAAGAGACCAGGGCTCTTGTGGCTCTTGCTGGGTAAGAGCATGGGCAGTTTAAGGTCGTGTCGACACAGAATTTGGTGGATAAAAATGATGCTGTTGAGTTTGCTGCTGAACTGCATAAACAGGGGGACACAGGGGATCCTTGATGGGCTTCTCCCAACCAGGCTTATGCTTCCTGCACTCGTTGCCAGAAGATTGCCTGGTTTCTTTCCCATGGCCAGCTCTAATGGTCTTCCCATGGGTTTTGGGAACTTTCCTGCAGGCTTTTGGTGCTGTAGAAGCGATTTCGGACAGAATTTGCGTTCACACGAATGCCAAGGTGAGCGTGGAGGTCTCAGCGGAGGACTTGCTGTCGTGCTGCGGCTTCGAGTGCGGCATGGGGTGAGCTGCTCTTGGTTCTTGTGCATTTAAAAGGTGGGTGGGAGGAGCAGGGACGCAGCCTGAAGATGCTGGTTGTTTCAGCCTTGTCTTCCTGGTCTCCCTAATTAACAGGAAGCCCCACCAATGGTTTGGGCTGTAGATGCTGGAGTTAGGTGGGAACATAAAGGTGACTGCATGGGCTGAAAGTCCCTCAGGCCACGTCCTCCCTCCAGCAATAGCTGGATGATGATGGATGGTGCGGGGAGGGCAAGCACATAGTGATGCTTTCCCATATGGAGTTGGCAGCTGCCTAAGCCACTGGAAGCATCTTTTAATACCCCCAAAGCTGCCTTTTTCAAGCCTTTTGCCTGTGACTTTTGCAGTTATTGAGAGCAGGATGGGAAGTTGTGTCTCCAAGCTGGCTCTTTTTCCCTCTCCTCCCCTAAAAGGGGATGGCTCTGAGCGGGCTGGAGCTGGAACTGCTGCCTCTTTCTCCAGGTGCAATGGTGGTTACCCCTCCGGCGCGTGGAGGTACTGGACAGAGAGGGGCCTCGTGTCTGGGGGTCTCTATGATTCCCATGTGGGTAAGTCCTGACAGATGCCCTGTGAAGGCAAAGAGGAGTATCTCTGCCTGGTTACAGATTCAGAGTGCTGCTTTTCTGATCTGTGTCCTTGTGGTTGCTCCCTTCTTCAGGGCTGGGCTCAAACACCTCTGCTAGCCCATGCTTCTGTCCCCGTGGCTCCTCCTGGTTACCCCCCTGGGACAAGTGTGTAGATGTGGTACTCAAGGACATGGTTTAGTGGCCATGGTGGTGTTGGACTTGGTGATCTTAGAGGCCTCTTCCAACCTTAATGATTCAATTATTTTATGCTTCTGTGAACCCCACAAAGCTTCTACTTCCATAACAGGAATGAATCAGACTAATTTTTTTGTTGTTGCTGACTTTGGACCAGTTCAGTACACTTTGGATGAGGGCAGGCATCTTCTTGACATGTTTCCCCCTTCAAAAAGTGACTTTTAGGCTGAAAACCTCTGCCTCTTCTTATAGCATAGCCATGAGTTGGTTCATGTTCCCATCTTTTCCATCACCTTGACAAGAGGGAGGTGGTAGGAAGCAGGTCCATAGGGAACCCCATTGCTGATTCAGGGATTACTCACTGGACAGACCTACTCTTGCTTGCACCCACGTTGATCTGTGGGGCTTTTGGGTCAGAAAGGCCATACCCTTCCTTTGAGGCATCTGGTGCCTTCTCCAGCATGGCTGTTGGGGACAGGGGTACTTGGGGACAGCCAGTTCATGCTGTCTCTGTCCTCCACAGGCTGCCGTCCCTACTCCATCCCACCCTGCGAGCACCACGTCAACGGCTCCCGGCCACCATGCACCGGGGAGGGGGGAGAAACCCCCAGGTGCAGCCGGCACTGCGAGCCCGGCTACTCGCCCTCATACAAGGAGGACAAGCACTACGGTAAGGGAGGGGGCCTCCAGAGCTGCTCCTGGTGGTGGCTCGGTGGGGTTGGTGGGATTGGACCTCTTCCTAAGCTGTTTTATGGTGGGTATTTCCTGTGGTCCTGGAGCAAACAAGCCTGGCAGATGCATGGTTTGTGTTTGCTGAGACTCGGCTGAGATGGGAGAACTGCTTTCAGTTGTTGGTTTTGGACCAGTTCAATCGACCTTGGAGTCTTCCTGACATGTTTCCCCCCATCAAAAAGCAATTTCCAGACTGAAAACCTCTGCCTGTTCCTGGCATGGCCAAGAGTTGGTTCATGTGCCCATCTTTTCCATCACCTTGACAAGGAGGTGGTGGGAAGCAGGTCCAGGTCCTCGTGGTGCATCTGCCTGGCTTGAAGAGCATGGTGCTGAGCCCCATGAGAGTCTGGTGTCAAAGCCACCTCCTTCCTACTTTGTGGTAGTAGCCAGCTCTGTACTTGTAGGAGAGTCTGGCTGCTGCTTGGAGATGTGTCTTAGCCTTGAGTAATTTGATTTGTTTTGGAAATGAGGATGTACAGGGGAAAGCTTCCCTTCTCACTGACGCTGCCTGGAATAGGTCTTCAGCTACGAAATAGGACTTGGGTTAAATCATTTCCCTCTGGGAGAGGGATGGTTGGAGCCCACTTTCCCTGTCTGGCTGTGTCAGTGCCTCTGGAGCAGCTGGGTTTGAGTTTAACCTTTAATGGAGAAAGCACAGGCACATCAAGCAGTCACTGCCCAGTTGTCCCAAGACCTGACAATGCTGTGCTAATGGTGGGATTTTTTTTCCTCCCTAGGCATCACATCTTATGGTGTCCCTCGCAGCGAGAAGGAAATCATGGCTGAGATCTACAAGAACGGTCCTGTGGAAGGAGCCTTTATTGTCTATGAGGACTTCCTGATGTACAAATCTGGTGAGCGTCAGCTCTAAGGCTGTGGGGAGCCCTGTTCCCCTCTTCATCCATGGGGTCTGTCTTGTGTGGCCCTGGTCCCTCTGCTCAGGTCTGAAAGGAGATCTCAAGTTCACACTTGAGCATCTGGTGTTGCAAGAACAGAGGCAGGTGCCATCTCCTGCATCCACTGGTTTGTAACAAGGGGAATAGGTGCTTGGGACTGGCTCAGGCATTAAAGCTCAGTGGGGAGCACCTAAAATTGTAGCTGAGAACAGCTTGGATTTTGGATAAAACACTGGCAGTTGGCTCTTCTGGTGTGGCCCCAATGGCCTGTTCTGAACTGCTTGGGATGTGCCACCTTGAGCGCTGCTGATGCTAACCTGACACTTAGCATAAGTCCCTTGATCGCTCCCTTATGAGGAGCAGCTGAGGGAGCTGGGGCTCTTGAGCTTGGAGCAGAGGAGACTGAGGGGTGCCCTCATTCATGGGGATCAATTTGTAAAGGATGAGTGTCAGGAGGAAGGAGCCAGGCTCTGCTCTGGGATGTCCAGTGCCAGGACAAGGGGACATGGTCCCAAGCTGGAGCATAGGAGGTTCAAGCTGAAGATGAGGCCAAAGTTTGTGAGTGTGAGGGTTATGGAGCATGGCCCAGGCTGCCCAGAGAGGTTGTGGAGTCTCCTTGTCTGGAGACACCCAAAGCCCTGGCCGTGGGGGAGCTTCCAGGTCCCTTCCAACTCCTAATACTCTGTGAATCCTTACTTTCCATTAAGCTTCTCTGAATCCAGACTCTCCATTATGCTTCAGGTTTGCATTTAACCATAAAAAAAAGCCTTCTCAGCTGGCCTCTGGGCTTTGACATCTAACATCTCACAAGCTGAAGTAGGGGTAGACGTGGTGCCCATTGACATCTTGGCTCGTTGCCTTGCAGGGATCTACCAGCACGTCACAGGCGAGCAGGTTGGAGGCCACGCCATCCGGATCCTGGGCTGGGGGGTGGACAACGGCACCCCGTACTGGTTGGCAGCCAACTCCTGGAACACCGACTGGGGCGACAACGGTGAGGCACCCCCAGATGCTGCTGGAGGGAACCCCCCATCCCTGTTCTCCTCAGTGTGGTGAGGAGGTTGACTTCTGCTTTTGATGTCCTTGCAGGCTTCTTCAAGATCCTCCGAGGAGAAGACCACTGCGGCATTGAGTCTGAGGTCGTGGCCGGCATCCCCAGGACGGAGCAGTACTGGAAGAGGGTGTAACTCCCTTGATCAAACCACAAATAATCCTGAGTCCCCAACGCTTTTAACTGATAGCGGGTTGGGTGCAGAGCCCCCCCCCCACTAAGAGACGATAGTTGAGGTTACTTTATTAAAGCTTTTTATCTTTTTTTGTTTTTTTTTTTTTAATTGTATGGTGGAGCTGGAGGTGGAACTGCTCTCTGCACGCCCTCTGCTCTTGGTGGGTCACAGCTATGGGGCATTCCCTGCTCAAAGGACTGCTGGGGGGTTTGCTGCTATGGTATTTGGGTAGCATGGACCCCTTCCAGCTCAGTTTTGTGTACTGGGAGGGTAGGAAGCAGTAGCTTTGTGCTGGGATTAGGGACTTGGTGGGGCAGTGGAGATGGATCCTGCAGGGAAACCATGGCCGGGTGTGATCTGTGCACCCCTGGCTGGGTTGGTGTGGCTGTGAGCACCCAAAACAAACAGGGTATGTTAGCGTGTGCCTTGAATTGGCTAATTTAGACCTCTTAATGACGAAATACTGATGAACTTGATGTGTGGCTGGCTCTGGCCAGAGCTGCGTTAAGGCCCCCCCTGCCTGCAGCGAGTCCTTTGTGCATCGCTTGCCCCGCTCCATCCATTCGGCTGCTTTTTAAACCACTTGTTCCTCAGCTTTTTATTTGTCTTTGGGTTTTGTCCTGCTGTAGTCTGAGGTTCTCGATCCTAGGGAAAGGCCTGGCTGGAGCTCCTTTATAAATGTCCTGCAAGCATCTAGGAGCACACTGGAAAGAGCAAACCACTCGATCCATGGCCAGGCAGCTTGGTGTGGGCCATGCCTTGGTACCGTGTCCAAATTGGGAGGGTGCAGGTGTAGAGATGAGGGATGGTCCCTGGGTCTGCTGCAGGGAGCTCGTGTGGATGCTTGGAGGTTACCTCCCTAAGTCGCACACAAGTGAAGCTTTTTTGTTTTGTCGCAGGTGTTAAGGAAGAAGAAAAACCTTGTTTTTGTAACCGGGGGGAGGTGTAATAGCTCTGTAGGAGGAATCATGTGATTTGCCAACACTAATATAGCGAAAGAGCTTTTTTTATTTTTTAATTTTAAAGCACAAAGTCTATTGCTGAGCTGAGGCTCCAGGCCTGAAACGCCTGACGCAGGCTCTCCTTTGCACTGTAAAATTGCCCCTTACCTCTGCTTACTCGGACAGCAGTGAGACAGAGCCGTGGTGTACGTGAGTGGAACAACTGTGCCAATAAATGATTTCTCCAGTGTCTCGTCTCCTGGCCTCTGATTGCTTCTTCTTGACTTCAGACCACCTCAAACTTCTCCTGTTGCTGTGTTGTGGAAGCCAGGTGAGCCCCTGCTGTCTTCATGCAAGCATGGTCCAAGACATGGAGAGCACGGCTGCAGCCCAGGCTGTGCCACCACTCCTGTCTGCTGTGCAAAGTCCATTAAAAGTTAATTTTAATTGTTTTTTAGCTGTCTCACCCTGGTCAAAATTCATCCTTTGGGTCTGGCACACAAGGCTTTAACTGTGGTGGTAGTGAAGAAGCATCCACGTTTCATCTGAGCTAAGGGCTGTGACTTGTGGCATGGTGGGGAATTACCAGTGTAAAAGAAGTAACAGCTTAAAATAATGATCAAACACTTTTTCTTTTCTTTTTTTCCCAAAGAAAACTTTTAATTTCAACAAGACAGGAAGCTGCACAAAGAGATCTACCGCAAGTTTCTTGTGAACAACAGCTTAAAACTATCTACATGGGTACTTGTGGAGTAGGGGTCCTCCCTCTGAGTAACAGTTTGGCCACAGAGGCCACCGAGCTGCAGCTGGGAGACAGCTCTGTCCTACACCAGGACACCAGGACAGGGGCTGTCCTTCCCCTCACAAAGGCAAAGCAGCATTTGGGGGTGATAGGGACCATGAAAACAAAAGCCCACCCCAGGAAAACAGGACTTGCCTTTAAAGCATCGTGTTGTCTTCTCACCCAAACTGTTCCCAGGAGGAACGTGGCCCACGTGTAAGTCCATCCTGATGTGTTTCAAAACAGCAGTGGAAGCCTCTTCCAGTTTGCGCATCAGTGTAACCCAAAGCATCCTCCCAAGCCAGAGCCAATCGGCCAGGGAAACCCGCCCTGGCCATCTCTGTGGTGGCTCAAGCCTTCCCACCCTGTGGTGGGGATCGCTGCTGCCTTTCAAGTCGGTCAATGCAGCGAGGTCCCCAAAAAAAGCATCCCGCAAGGGACAGCACAGTGGAAACCCCGCTCCTTTGCTGTGATGGAGCTGCTCTGCCATGGCCACCCATACCCTTGGGCTGAAGAAGTGGTGCAGAGCCCAGGCCCTGCAGTGGAGTCAGATGTGAGGTTTTTTTTAGCTCAGGGCCATGCAGGCAGCTCCCTTCTCCTCACTGTAACCTCCCCAGCTGCTAAAACATGAAGCTGTGCTAGAGGAACTTTCAGCTGGGGGCACATTGGAGTGGACAGATCATCCCACCTATGTATTTAGCGTTAAGAGGGCTTGTTTCAAGCCTTAGCAGCTTCCTTTAGCACAACAGAAACATGACGATTGCCTCTGTTTCCAGGCTGCAGGACATCAACCAGCCTGGGCTGAGGGCCAGAAGGTGGCCAGAGCCTTCTCCCTGGATAAGGAACCCTGTTCCTCTCCCGGCTGAAGCAGCGTCCTTCCAGTGCAGAGCACCAGAGGTGATGGGGAAGAAGCTGCCAAAAAAGAGAGGCAGAACCCAGAGGGTTTTACCTAGCACTGAGCTGGAAATGTGTCTCAAACCTCAAGCAAGAAGAGAGGCAACTGGAGTTTCTATCTAAAACCATCCTAATCAACAAAAAAAAAATAATTCAGGTAAACTGTCCAACAGGAAAGAAGGGGGAAAAAAAAATACTCCACCCCAAACAGTAAGACTCCAATTAGTGTTCGTAACCATCCAAGCAGATGGCAAAGGCGGTGAGGAGCAGAGTCCAGCAATGCTGCACCATCGCCCCAGGGCTGCAGCTCACCGGCGTCCTGTCCTTGTCACCGTCCCAGGCCCCATGGCACCCCCGGTGCCTCGGCCATCCCCACAGGCAAGGGACGAGGAGACTCCTGCCTCCGCTGCCCATCCGCCAACCAGCTCTTCCCCCCGCCCGCCCGCTGTCCATCAGTTCTCGCCCGCCTGGACGTACTCCTCGGTGGCCTTGGAGATGGTGCTGAGGTACTGCCAGCTCAGGGCGGCCAGGAGCATGGCGCAGGACAGGTAGATGGGGGAGTAGTGATGGCGTGAGGCCATGGGGCCGTTGGGCAGGCTCATGGCACGGATGGTGGCGATGATCTGCTGCGTCTTGTTGGATGATGGGTCTGTGCTTGGGATCTTCTGGTAGATCTGGGGAGGGAGGAAGGAGGAGTTGCAGTTATTATCCAAGGATGAGGAGACACGTGGGACCACCGGGTGGAAGAGGAAGCCTTAAGGCTCCTGCTCTGGACTAGATGATCTTTTAAGGTCTTCTCCAACTCTTAATATTGTGTGATTCTGTGATTCTATATTATTAAGGGCCACCGTGTCCTCTGTGGTGAACTACACAGAGCAAGGACCAGCTGCAAGGGATGCCCTGATGAGGGCCTATTTCCCTTGAGAAGTGCATTAAGCCAAGCAGCCTCTTGAGGGCACCCCATGATGGGAGATGGACCACACGCCCTCAGACACCATCCTTCAACCACAAGCCGGGTTGCTGAGAGCAGTGGTTCTCACCCAGCGATCCTTGCTCACTGCTGGTGTGCTGCAGCCCACCCCAAACCATGAGGACACCTCAGTGTGACTGCCAGGAGGAAATAGCCACTTTTGTCAGATAACACCATGGCCTTTGGGGTTTTCGCTATGGTCTGCAAACCCTGTGGCCTTTAAGATATTTGTCTGCATGAGTCTTAGCGAGGCATGCACAAGCAGAGACCCTCCTCTGGGCTAAGATGTCACTGACCCTTGCTTGTCACAGGGTAGATAAGTCTGCAAAGTGAGCTCATGGTTGGGGTCTCCCAGGTGCAGAAGTAATGTCTTTTTATTTAATCCTCACTGGATTTGGTTTTTGGGGTTAGGGGTTTTTTTCCCCATGAATCTATCCACCAAATGTGAACTTTTGACCTCCACAGCACCCTGAAGCTGGGAGTCCCACTGCTTTAACCACCTGTGAAGAGCTGCTGTTCTTTACTGCTGGCCATGAAGCACAAGGAAACCACCCGCATCGTGCTGTAACTACAGGCGCAGAAGAAGCGAGACTGCTGACTGGAGCAGCCTAGGGGGACATGATGCAACCTGTTCAGCAGTGTGTTATGGGAAAGGTCCTCTGTGCCTGCTCAGCCCAGGGGAAGCCCTGCTTCATTCATCTCATTCTCCACCAGAACCAGGACCTTGGTCTCTGCCTCTCAACATTAGGCTCAGACCAAGGGCACCTTTGAGGGAACACATTAAGCACTCAATTTGGTCCAGACCAAAACCACATCAGTGTCACTGTGCCCTGCCACCATAAAACTAAGAGACGTAAGGAAAGGATTAACAGATTCACTGGTCTTCCCAGCTCCACACCAGCAATGAGGATAGGAACAGCCAGAAATTACTCAAAGGAAGTTTCTCAACCTACCTCTTCCACATACTGGTACATGATGGCTTTGACAGCTTGTATGTTTGTGGCATCCATCATGAGAGTGACGGCTTGCCCCTTTCGGATCTTCACTACACCCCTGAACACTTGCTTGTTGTTATAGCAGGCAGCCAGCGTGGCAATAGCCATCACCTAAGGAGAAACATCAAGAGCATTACTGCATTGCCAAGGCAGCAACCTCAGCCCTAGAGAAATCAACGGCAAGACACTCTGGAGTGGAGCCACAATCTCACCAACAGCAGAAATGATAGGCATCAGGAAGGAAGGAAGAGAGAGAAGAGATGGAGAATAAAACAGGCTAATACCAGCATGATACATCACCTCCTTCACCTCCAACTTCTCATCAGCTGGGCTGCAGACGATGAAGAACCACCTGAAAGCATAACTCACCTGGGGGATAGCGCAGAAGTTGAAGACACTTTGGTTTTTCAGCCGAGATAAGTATGTGAGGACATCAGGGACGTGGTGGAGGGCGTTGGTGATGAGCTCATTCAGACACTGGACAGCCATATCGATGTTCTCTGGCTTGGCAAGATCTGAGAGCTTCTTTGCGTATCTGCTCCAAACCTAAAACACCAAGACAAGGACCCAGGAGTTGGAGGGAACATTCATGCTGTAAGAGAGACGTCAGTAATAGTTTGCAGTCTGGAAGAGCAACAAGAACCACCACAGACTCAGGAAAGCCTTGAAGGATTGGGGCTTACTAGGCTAAAGAAAAGGAGGAAGGCTGCAGAGATGTAACAGAATTCTTGGAGGGCCAGCACACAAGGAGCTGTCAGGCATAGGAAGAGCTGATCCTGCTTTTGGGAACAGAGGAGGTACCCTCTTGAGATCTCACCCAGTCTTTCCCTCCCTCATTCCTAGAGCCAACGTAAGAGAGGGGAAAAAGTTGTCCAACAAGGTCTTCGCAGCATGAGGAGACATCACCTCATCCCCACATCTGTACCCTGACAGCTGTCAGGCATAGGAAGAGCTGATCCTGCCTTTGGGAACAGAGGAGGTACCCTCTTGAGATCTCACCCGGTCTTGCCCTCCCTCCTTCCTAGAGCCAACGCAAGAGAGAGGGGAAAAAGCTGCCCAACAAGGTCTTCACAGCATGGGGAGACATCACCTCATCCCCACATCCATACCCTGACAGCTGTAGGTGGCACTTACCAGCCAGCTGTCATGAGAACTATTATTATCAAGAAGATGTACAGCTAACAGTAGTGATCTTATGCAGCACAGCTTTACTGTAAGGTCTTAATAAAATTAGATTGTCAAGTCTCCTGTTAACTTTGATTTAAAGGGACATGAGATACACCACCATTTTAGCTGTGCATCCTCTGCTATGCCCCCTGTAATGCATTCCTTGGACAGGCATCCATGGACAGCTGGCTCCATCCATTACAGGTCATGGAGAGAAGTATGAAACACTGTCAAGAGACACCAACAAACAGTGGGAAAAATGCTGCCTTTGGGAATTTCAA